ATCGTTGCAAACTTGATACCTAGCTTCGACCACTGTGGACATGTGTACAAACGCTTTTGGTTTTGCTTTGCGAAGGATGCGTAAGAGGCTTAGGCTGGAATCTGGAACGTTTGCAAAGAACTAAATCAAATAGTATTCTTTGTAAAGCTAACACCACGGATGGAAGGGAGAGGCTCTGGCCTGATGTCAAAAATGCCCTTGTCTACAGGCCTATAGTAGCCAAGAAAGGCACTAGTACAGACAGAGCCGCGCGGAAGTCAGCACGGGCCTGCTCCAGAAGAGGCAGGATGGCCTGCCGACGAATGAAACTGCAGAAGCCGGTTTATGCTGGATCTTGATACTCTTGTAACGGCTTGTAGCGGCTTGGAACGCAGGGGATGTCGCATGTTCACTCGTCAAGGAAGCCTGGACCGACGAAATCTTTTTGTCGAAGATGAGGACCAGAGGATTCTGGCAAGCATCAGGGAAGCTTGCACACGCAAATGCCCAGTACACCCATGCCTCCAACTCCACCTTTTGCGCCTGAATTACAAGCCCGTTGCCATGATCGCTTCACTGGTGTCTATGTAGCGTCACGACCTTCACATTTGTGATGAAGTACGGGGAGATGTACCTTCAAGAAAACTGCAGCTGCAGCAACCAGATAGTCTGACGAAAGACTTCATAAAGAGCACCCGCGGTCCAGCTGCATGCCTTCCACCACCTGTCACCAGGACGAGAAACCTCTATGTCATGAGTCTAATGACTCTGAGATTCTGTGACGCAAGACATGGGCCTCGAGCTCGTGATCCATGGTTTTGCCGTCAGACCTACGTATCCATGCCAGGATAAGCAGGAAGGACAACTGTGTGCTTCATGGAAGTTCTTACAGATCCAGCTTGGAGCAGGGCACGGTGATGGTCCCATCCTTGCCAACCTGCCAGCAGGAAAGCAGCTGCACACCTTCTCGATATCCTCTAACTCTAAGGCTGCCTTCTCAAAAGCTTCTGTAATCATCTTGCCGATGTGCTCGTCGCCATTGGCTGCAATGGTCGCGACCTCGAAGCTGCTTCCAAAGATCGAACGGCCCAGCTCCCACACTTGTCTGCAGCCAGAAGCCAGGCATCTCGCACTCTTGATTTTGTCAGGAGTCTCGATCATGGTCGCTTGGCTTGAGAGGTCCTTTACAAGTTCAAAAACGCTTAAACTCACTACACTGATCACGGTGCCGGCTTGCGACTCTGCAAGTGGTTCCTCTAAGACAATTTTCGCTGCATGGTCCATGCCACGTTTGATGTCCATCCTGTTCACTCAGGCTTCGAGGGAACTCTCCGGTGCTGATGCCCCCCGGGCGGCCCACGGATTCATTCCAGCTGCTACCGCCTCAGCCAAGCTCGCACGTTGCAGCCAATGCCCCCGTCTTTGCCAGTGTCGCCTTGCAACCTTCCCTGAAGATGGCGCCTTGGCGCCACTCCACTTCGCTCTTCTAACGTCAGCTTTGGCAAGCTGCAACAGATTTTTCAATTCTGAATTTAAGTGCTCGACGTGCCAGAACGGTTGCAGTGGTCGTGCCATCGCCAGCTACGTCGTTCGTCTTGCTGGCAACCTAACACCAATCAGCTTTGTCAAGTCGAGTCAACATTCATGCACACCTGCAACATTCACATATTTACACGGGCAACATTCCATGCTCCCATTAGTCTGTACATGCTCATGATCGCGCTCTAGCACATACTTATACATGTCTTTTCGTATGTCTGTGTGCATGGAAACACAATCCTACCTACATACATACCTTACATACCCACTCACCCACCCACCCACCGATCTACGTACCTACCTGACTACCTACCATTACATACCTATTTCTTCAGAATGCAGCTACCTGTAGTGAAGTGTCTGTGGCAGTTCGTGAAACTGTCGGCGGTGCAAGAAACCAGTTACAAAAGTACAAAAATATCCCAACACACTAGCATCTAGCTCAGATGTCTGCACTTTGTGTATTACTGAGCTCCGCCGATGGTTTCGCAGTCCTTGCTGTTGTTTCAGTGTTGGGTCTTCGCGCGGCCACAATACCGCGACCTTTGCGAAATGTGATGAAACATCGATTTGCAAAGGCGTCTGCAAGGATCTAAACTACCTAGAAACCCAGAGCTTGCGCAACATAGATGCATCTCGTTCGTTCGTCTCGTTCACTCTGGCGGCACTTTCACAACGTGACATCCAAAACACAAAGTGATCAAAGCAGGAGATACCAAAACATCCGCACTAAGACTATCTCCCAGATTCCTTGCAGCTAGACCACAAGCTTGGTGTCATAATCGCCAGGACTTATGTCACCTGGTGTGGGGGTTGAGACTTGCACATTGTGTGTCTTTTCTTGCCTTCGAGGTGCTGAGCAATGTTTGATTGTCGTTGCACGTTCGAGATCAGCAGGGCTCCAAAAACATCCGAAGCTGCATCCGATACCACAACAGACTGCATCTCACCTCTTGCCGAGAGATTAAGAAGCTGTTTACTGCTAATTAACATGCAGAAGCACTTTGCTGACGCAATGTCTTTGGAGCAGAGTCAGGCTTGGCACGCCCCTTCCCCTCCTTCAACCTTCAACGTGTTCTAATGCCTCTCAAAACGGATGGCAGAGAAGAGCAGTGTCGCTCCAACACGGTGGGGCAGGGGCGAGCAGGGTCACTTCCTCGACGGGGGAGGCGGGGGGAGAAAACCGTGAGAATGGGGTCGAAGGGGGGAGGGAACTTCCGATGCTGACACGCCGTGAGTGCTGACGAAAAAAGCTCTCCGGGTTCTATCATCAGGGTCTGGAAGCTCCCAGACAAGCCATCTTAGTCTCAGTGAAACCAAACGAAGCTATGAAATTTCGCCTCGAGGACAAAGGCCCTCTCTTCAAAATGACGCTAACCATTATAAACATGGCCATACACATCTATCCCTGTAAGGATCAGGTGTAGATCTGTAAAGGCCAAAAGCGAACTATGGCTGCAGCGATCGAAAGCGTTTCAGAATAGCTCACACGATTGAAAGCTCCCCTGCGTTTGAACTGCGTGAACAGTTGTGTTCTCAGTCGCGTCGTTCAGGGAGGAACAAGCTACTGCGTTCTTCTGCTTCACAGGTCTAGACCTACTTGATTTCCAATGATTGCTCAGGCGAGACCAAATTCAAAGATTCAAGTTGGACCCGGGGGTGAGTAAACCCTCAGATTCGAATCGAAGATCCGCGATGCAGCCCACCTCTGCACAATCTTGGATCTGATTCAATCTGGCTTCAATCTTGTGATTGAGGGCTTGTGGTGTCTGCGCCCAGAAAATCGGTTTGGGCAGAGGTTGAGAAGCGCAGCCTCATAGTAGGCTATGAAGACACGCCCGAAAATGATGGATATGCCTGTTTGCATTCTAACCGCAGTGCAGGTTGAACAAGTACCACAGCAGTGTACATTTATGTGCTTACCTAGTGTCAAGAAGATTGAGACGCACAGTCGAAGGAAGGTAAGGTGCGCAGGTTGTGACACTTTGTGGTACGTGCTTCATTCCACACCCTGACCACGTACCATGTGTGGTGCAGCCACCCTTTCGGATATGGGGTGCCACAGCACCCACAGTGTTTCAAGCTGAAGGGTTGTTCCTGGAAAGAAGTACCGAGTGTAGTCACAACCATGACATGCAGTCTTCTTCACCCTGCACCACGTCCCATGTGGGCCTTCATAGCACTGAAGATTGCTAGATAATGATAGAGTTGCACAGGACTCGCTGGCGGCCAGAAGTCCTTTGACAAAATGAGTTACAAGCAACTCAAAGAAGGTGAACCAAAGCTTACTGAGGCGATTACATACCTGGGATATTCTTAAGCTAGTAGCCAGCTAGTCATGATATGAAGAACCTATCGCACCGATTTGGTCAACCAAACTCTTCGCACATGCACGACTCGACCTGAAGAACACCATGTCAACAGACTTCGCGTCTGGATTGTTCACGAGAAAGCGGGGAGGCACGCTCGAGCTTGGGCTGCGGACGGTCTTCACAAGCTGTGCGCCCACATTGATCATTGGACTGGACCTGAGAGCTCCAAGAGGGTCAAAGCCGCCAACTCGTAGACCGAGGCTTCCGAGGCTTCCGAGGCTTCGGCTTCAAGTCAATCGACTTGGCTACTGTAACACCGTCCTTCGTGACCTGGCTCTTTGTTTGGGCATTCTGCTATGACAAGCCATGCGAAAACCAGCACACAAAACGCACAGGGTGGTGCTGTGTCACATAAATTGCCGCCTTCGGCGCACCAAAAGATTGCTCGATCACCACGTTTCTGCCCTCACGAACTGGTGCAGGAAAAGAGAGGTCGACTACGGCAAGAGCGGGACATGTGGGGCCCGCACTTTTGGTCCCATGGTCACGGCGACGGCATCGGCCAAGCGGTTGCAACCTTTCATGCTCGAATATGCCCTGATAACTCTGATTTTCTCGGTTCTCAAGGCCTTCGAGCATCAAAGCCCGTGCTTCGCTCCCATGGCGAATATCCTCCATGCTCCAGATTAAAAAATCCTTCCAACAACAGACATCTCCTGAAAATGCGGCCTTGGCGGCCGCAAAACTTCTGGCAGTTGCTGCCAGTACTGGTCGCGTCTGGCACAGAAACAGGCTTCTGAAACACTCCGCAGCATGTGCAGGTGCTTGATGGTGGTGATGTGGCCATGCTCAGACATTAGCACCCGACAGGAATGCGCCGCAGCGTCGAAAGCATGGCTGCCTGATTCGTAACAATCCCGAGCATGAAACCATGTGGGCAGAGTCTCTGAGGTATTGGCGGGTGGGCTCTCACGGCTCCGCTCCCTTGAACCTCTCCGCGCTGCAACCACTGCAACGTGGCCCGGTGCTCTATGGCCCAAAAGAAACAGCTTTGCGAAGTTGCAGCTACACGCACGCAACCGACCCTTTCAACTTTTGCTAGCAATTCTCCGCAACCAAGCCTCTGTGGTTGGGCTATGAAGTGAAACTGTCTTTGTGAGCTTGTGGCTGTCACGGAGCACTCGGATGTCCAGCCCTGCAGGTCTCATGCAACATGCACCGCTGAGTTTTCAGCATGAGAAGGCTACCGCCACTTTCCACGTGCCCCACCGAGGCAGGCAAAAGGGAGCAACGTCGACGTGGTTTACTGCGCTGACCTGCGGCTTCAACTCGAATGCGCACACCAGATGACACATCCTGCACCTTCCCTGCGTCTCCAAACTACCCGGGCCTGTGGCACGGGCTGTCCCAGAGGTGCTGCCAGCGGCACCTGAGACTGAAAACGACGATGACCAATAAATGAGAAGCATCAACGGATGAAATGCATGCACATGTCCTGAACTACATCTACTATCTCGCATGTTTCGAGCTGCACATCTGCCAGCGAATGCAGGCTCGTTACCGGGAAACGCTGCGACGGGCCAAGCAACGGAGCGGAACAACGTGGCGTGCGGGCTTGCTTAACATCAGCGCTGCACATGAACCAGATGTTCGACTCGAAACTCTGACCCAAACCCTCGACCCCGAAGCTATCGTATTTATTAAGCAGCATTTTTGAACCCGGCATGAAGGCATCGACATGAGTTCACGATCCTGAACATCTTAAACGGACTTGCTAATTCCCTACCCCAGAGCTCGACGACCAATAAATCACGTCTATGAATTTGTTACAGGCATCGGGCCCCGGAGCTGCTCGCGAAGGTCAATCGGTGCCACTTCATGATGCATACGGCCGTACTCATGGCAGCTATGAAGGAGAAACAGTATGCCACTATCGCGCTGCCGCCATGCGCGTGGTGAGGTGACCTTCGGCTTCACTCACGGCAGCGCTTGGCCGCGCAAGGCTTCGTCTGAACGACTGGGTCTTGCACGGCCATACACATTTACCACGGCCCTTTAAATGATCCATGGTTACTTGGACCAGCAACGGACTGGTTCTGGGAATCTCAAATCAAAACTCGGTGCTAGCCAATATTTGTTTAGACATTGACATAGTTCTTAGTTTAGACTTGATCCAACATTTGTGCAACATCTCCTCGATGCCGGGCTGGCCTCTGTCTTCTGTCTTGTGCGAGCTCCTTCAGGCAACCCTCCTCCAACACTGCTTCGGCTCACATAGCTCGGCAGAGTCAAGGCATTCGGCTTCCGGGTGGTGATACAAGCAGGAATGCCGAAATTGAAAGCACTCCTCAAGCAGACGACAGCGCCCAAAGGGAAGCGAAGTACGGCAAAGGTCAGTCTTGAAGAAAAATCATGCCGAACGTACAGAGCAAGTCGGCGAGCCCTAGTGACCTAGTGATAGTGAGGTAGCCTGCTGCACGTGTCGCATCATGGGACCCTCGCTGCAAAGACAGGAACCGCAAGTCTCCGCGAACGGGGGAATGGATCTAAACCCTGTGCAGGCTCTACACGACCGACTCTTTCCAACAAAACTAAACACATTTCAATTTTTCGAAAATTCCAGGCCGTTGTCGAGGTACAATACATCCAATCGCGAAGCTTCGACAGCAGCAGCGACAACAACACACTGTGCCCTGGCAACACATGTGCGACGCTGCATGTACGAATGCTCTTGTTACCTCACAGCTGGACACGACAGCAACGCTATAAATTCCCCAGTCAAGCCGGCAGCCGTGAGATGACTGCTGCATGATGTCTAGCACTCTGTAACACATTAAGCATCCCTTGCAGTTGCAATCTAGACCTAGGGACCTAGACACGAGTGCCGTGTTACACGGATCGTCTCTGCACCAATCATCCACCTGCTGAAAGAAACCTTAAGTTTACAAATCGATCTAAACTGCCCCGCAGTTTGACAGCACTCTGAGCCAAGCACCTGTGACGTGAGGACAGTTCCCTGGCCTAGCAGTGCAACTCATGCCGCGTTGTGTCCAGTCTGCCACGCAAGGGCCACACACGAAGCCCCCGGAACGAAGCCAACCGGCATCGCTTGAAGAGGCGGCCTTCAAGCGCCAATGGCCCAAATGGCCCAAGCCGCCAATGCATGGCTTGGAAAACCTTTTGCTTTGAGTGGGCCTTGGTCCACTGGCCGAAGCAGGGCAGTAAGCCTTCCCGCGCAGGAAGCACGTCAGCCAGCGGTTCGGAGGAGGACAACTCCAGAACGCAACTACGATGATTCTGGTTTCCTCGAGATTCTCCAGGCAGCTTCGTTAGTTTGCTTACCGGATCGGCTTCAGGAGCTAGGGAAGTCAGCACAGTTTTCGCTAGCTACACGGTCGAGTGCATGTCGAAAGTCTCATCGCGCTCGCACGAGTGTTGCTTCAAAACAAAGCCTTTCGCTCCGTTCGCTGCACACAGTGCCAGCCTGTAGCTGCGGATTCGCAGGGCCTGCGCCAACCAGACGAAGAGACATTCTCACGACTGTTCTCATGCTCGCTCGAGAGGATTGCATGCCACTTGCCTGTGTAGCCGGCATAGACTGGTGCATAGGGACTTGAAGACCACTGCGTAGGCCTAAAAAAGGGCATGAGCAGATCACTTCAAGTCTTGCCATTTGTCTTTGCCACTTGTCTTAATTGTAAGACACAAGCAACGGAGCACGAGCGACTGATGGGCCACCTGCTACGCAAGGCCAAGCGGTCTCCACTTCACCATGCCGTCAGAAATCTCAAGAGACTAGGGAGGACACCTTCCGATGCCTTGCATTGTTGCCTTTTCCAATCCAGCGACATCCGGCGTGGTGGTCCTAGCAGCCCTGGACTCAGCTTTGGCAAAGGCTGCCACATTGAAACTGCGCTCGCTTCCCGATTTTGTACAGGCTTCCGAAAGCCGTTTTGCACAGACTTTGGCGACTCTATGCGGGGCAACTACACTGAAACATGCCCTGAGGTCGACACGCACTCTGAAGTATCAGCTACACATCCAAAGATACCGAAGTATTGATCACTCATTGAAGATGAATCGCTTGAACCACTTCTCTCTTTGCACATCACCCAGATTTGCAGACCTGGCGTCCGCAAGGCTGTCGATTCTTCCGCCTGCGAACTGCCAGCGCTCGTCCACAGGAACTTTGACAACCTCCCGGACGTCAACGTCTGTGACCTCGAAGGCCCCTAGCTCCAAGAGGCGTTCCAGCATGCCGGGGAAGAGGATCGTGAAGCCGCGGAACTGTTCGTCGCTGCCTTGCAGTTTGATGTCCGGACCCTGTGGGCCTCCCCAGTAGACAGGGCCGCTCTTCTCACGGCCCAAGGGCGGGCCGTTGAGGAGTGCGACCATGGCCACACCCGTCCTCTCGCTCCTTTCGCTCTCCTCGGGCTTGATCAAAACCACCACGGACTTGTGGAAGTACTGGGCCGGCAAGAAGCGTCTCAGGTCGAAGGCAGTGTCTTCTGCAGGTTTGCCAAGTAGCCTCAGCGGACAAGACTTTGAGGACACGCTCGCTCAGCTTCGTGATTTTCTAGGATGCGCCATACAGCTCCCTGATCTCTAGTCGAGGTCGACTGGGTACAGGCCTATCGAACATGGTAGCTTTCTTGGTGGGACAGGCTCGAGCCAAGCAGCCAAGCAGTGGCTGAGCCACGCAACACCGTTCCATGGCTGAGAGTGCCCGCCTTGGCAGACTTTAGCGCATTCTGCAAGCCTTTAACGACCTCAGATTCTGGAAGCCGCTCAGGGCTGTACTGTGTCGGGATAAGGCACCTGTTGATCCAGCGTCGCAACATCTCATCAGTATGTTCATTGTCACCTGTCGAGTTGAAGTCTGCGAGGCTTTGTTCATACTTTGGCCCCAAGGCTGTGTACAGTCTTTCCCACATCTCAATGCCATCCCCGACGTCGTCTGCAGTGAAGACGTCACCACTCGATGCCTGTTCGATACGTTTGCGCAAGCTGGACTGGGCCGTTCTCAGTTCACCTAGAAGCGTTCGCGGATCTATAGAGGCCATTGTCCATGTATTGGAACGGTCTAGTTCACCCTGTAATTGCCCAGGACTCCAACCACAGTAGCCAACAAGCAGCAAGAAGTCGTCCTTGTCTGCCTCTCCTGCGGCTACAAGCTTCTTGGCGTCTTCAAGGCCTATCGAGTACACTCCCTGAGTGATCTTTTCACTGCGATCCGCCAGTGACTTCAATCCATGCAGAACGGAATACTCGGGAGGGATATCCTCGCGTTCATTGATGCCTTGGCAGTCCCCACCACACCACACGTTCCAGTCGTCTGCGCCCTCGTGAGAGAAATTCACAAGGTTTTTAAACTGGGTTTCCACGTCAGTGGTGCTGAAAGCCGTGGGTCTGTTCAGAATGACCCCCTTTGTGAAGTCCTCCGTGTGCGTCACAAGAAAAATGACATTCTTGTGGAAGTATTGCTGGTTGATGGCAAAATGATCATTCGGTGCAGACAATAGGATGGATCCCTGCTCTATAACGGGCATCTCGTAGGCCCACTGCTCGGCCTTCTTCTGCGAGATTCCGTCTGCATTTGCTCCAGCTCCCTGCTCTTGCTGCACCAGCCTGGCACGGAATTCTTGCCAATCCTCTGAATCTTCTGCTATTTCAGTATCTGCCGTGTCTGCATCATCTTCTGGGGATCCTTCCTGGCTAGCAAGCCTGATGACACGGGAGCGGTCGCATCGTTCACAGTGTCCTTGAAGGGATCTTGCCTTTGCCCTCCATGCCTGAAAGGCGGTCACGGGTGCTGTCAGCGAGGCCAGGATGGCGCAGAAGGCGCACACGCTTGCAACCTTCGCAGCCCTATGCCGCTTCTGTCTCGCCCTTGGCATGGCGGCAGTTGTGTGAGCTTGAGCTGAGGCAAACAACCGGTTGCGGAAGACTGCTGCAATCGATGCGCGTGGCTGACCTGCCACCCTCCACCTTCCGTCTCTATAACTTCGGCTTTGCTCTGCAGCCTTGTGCACACCTGTGCACACTGCCTGGTATCGCTGGGCTCATTGAACTCTTGGCTGGCTGCTTGCCCCGATTCGCCACCTGAACAAGCAAGCGCAGAGCCTGGCCGTCGTCCTTTATGCTTGCCGCTGCTCGAGTGCTTGAGCTGGCGGCAAAGCTGTGCTGGGGAGGTCCTGTCGGCAAGCTTTGGTGACTGCCTTTCCCAACGGCGTCGCTCAAACTCGCATCCAGCTGCACAGATCATTGCAAGTCCTTGCTGAGCTTGTGCAGGCCGCATTGGGGGCGCATGGCTCTGAACCAATCCACTGGGTGCTGATGCCTGGCGACAACCCAGTACCCACTTACCAGCACGAAGACCCCAAACCGCACCAAGACAACAGCTTGCCTCCTGCATGACCACGACGCTGGCTGAACTGAGTGCCGCCGTGATTGAAGGCTTCTTCGCCTTCGAACCACCCATGCCTGACTCTTAGGACCTTAGCTGCACGCGACACAGGCCTCCAAGTCGCGCCGGTAGCCATAGTCGTGGAACCTCGGAAGTAGTTGCAAGCATGACGCAAGCATACAGACAAACCTTCCTGCTCACTCTCGCATACAAACCGCTCCTTCCTTCGGGCAACATGCCGACAAAACTTCCTGCATAAACTTCGGTGCAGAATCAATTACTCAGCCCCTCACGCCGCCAGCAACGTTTTGTCGCCAGTCACCTGGATGGTGAAAGCAAGCATTGAAGACTTCACCCCGTCAATCACGGTGAGAGTCTACCGTGCTGGCATGCACTATGCCTTGTGTCTTTCGGCCGGAATCATGAACTTGTCATCAGCACCCGGGAAGTCATCGAAGTTGGAGGTGTCAAGCGGACCTTTGACCTGCGGAAGCATTTGTTCACGTCATGATACCACAGCTTCGACGTGGTCGAGGGGCAATCGGCTTGATGGGCGGGGCCATGCTGCGAAGCCGTTTGAAGTCCAGACCCTGCAGAGGCACTTCTTATTGCTGTCAGAAGGATTGGAGTTGACCGGAGCTTTGGGATCCAGCTCGAAAGAAGGGATGCACTCGTATCTGATCCGCTGACAAGCGGTCCTCGGTCAGACTCAATCACACGACCGCCTAAGCGCAAACGCGAGGTTTTAAGCTGCTTTCAAGGCTCGGCCGGATCGCAGATGAGGCCTTTGAGGAGATCGCGAGCCTCTTGGCAAAAGGTTCTTCTCACACTCTCGTAGTAACTCTGGGTCCGTCATTCCTCTGACGCAGCCTCTGAGCTGACGTGTGGATCTGGTGGTATATGGAACCATCTCCGCCAGTGCATCACTCTTGCAGAAGTCACCTTGTGAAGTTGAGCTCCAATGCAAGAAGCCTCGGGCTCAAGAAAGCCCCTGGCTGATGGATCGTGCCGCTCATCGCTGAAAGGCGGACCGCCAAAGAGCATCTGGTCAGGACCCCTACGCTGACAGTACTTCTCCTCAACACTCCGACCTCGAACATGATGATCCCCAGCGACCACATGTCACACTCCTTTCCATATGGTGCCTTCTTGTAGACCTCTCGGACATGGCAAAAAGTCTCTGCTGAGAAATCGCCTCCACTGCCTCTGGTCCCATGTAGTCGGGCCTGGCATCCGCAAAGAAGGGATTGCAAGCTGCTGCGCTTGACTTTCAAGGACGCTCCCAGAAGAGCAACCACGTCAGAGGGGCGTTCCCACCTAGCGACGACTTCGCCAACACGACATGATGCATGGATGCTAAAGCCAAGGCTCTGGCTACCGATTGCATTTTTTCTCGAGGAGGATGCCTTGCACGCCTGTATGAAGGGCCTGACATCACGCGGTAGCTGTTTCAGTGCCACTTCCACATCTCGGCCAATGGTGGCCGTGCTGCTGCTTTGACTGTCTGCACTGCTGCCAGTAGGAACACCTCACGAGCGCAGGAATCAAGGGCGCGATGCGAGCGGCTCCTACATCTTCCGTCCTTCACCCTGGGCAGGCTCCGGGGGCTGGTACTTGCACAAGCCAAAGTCCTTACCGAAGCAAAAAAGCAGCTGCGACTATTAACCCTTGCTATACGTGCGCTTCGATGTGGTACAAGGCTGTCTGAAACTATCGGAAGACCAGTGAGCCCAATTTGCCAGTTGTATTCGGTCACCATCGGCTGAGAATCCGGCGAGGAGGTGAATGTGACCTTCCATCTCTGGCAGCAGCGAACCAACACATGCGAGGCGAGTGTCATGAACGTGCTTCCACAGACCTGTATGGACTTACAACTTAGCAAGAAAGAATCAAGAAGTGTGGCAAGTAGAGTAAGTAGAGCCTGCAGAGTGTGCTTGAGCTCAGACCCTCGCTCCGGAAACTGGCTGCTCGGAAGTCTGTGGGTGTAGAGACGATCGGCATTGACGGTGTCGGGCCCGATTGGTCTGAATCCTCACTCTACCAAAGGAACTGCACAATGAAGCCATCAAGATCCATCAAGCCTTGTAAGGTGTGTGTGTGAGGTGGTCATGTGACAGTTCCTTCGGTGGTTTCTGTTTCGGCGGAGAGTAGCATCTAGAAGCGTTGACAGGTCTGGTTGGGGTGGGGGGTTGGCTTGCGCGGTTGCAAGTGCATGAACTTGCCACTGCTACCTCATCGACCCAGCATGCCAACAAGATCGACCATCACGGCAGTACACTGACCTACTCGGACAAACAACAACCTCATGGGTGAGCGGCATGGGCACATGATTTCCTAGACTGAGGTCTCAGGCCATCAATGTCGAAGACGATGTTGTCCGGCTTAATGTCGCGGTGAATGTAATGCAAGTTGGTGTGAATGTAGTCAATAGCCTATGCAGGGAAACATGAAGACCATTGCCGATTCAGCATTGCCATACAAGCATGCAGGCCAAGTTTCCTCCACAAGTTCGGCAATGTAGAAACGCGTCTCCTCCTCCGAGAAGGTGTCCTCGAATAGCAAACGCAAGACTGAGCAGGAGCAACTGCGAAGTAGATCGCCCAATCAACTCATCGAAACACCTTGCATGAAAGTCCTTGCGCATGAGATAGGTCATGAGGTCTCCACCGGGCAGGTATCTGCGGAGTGAGGTCCACATTCCAACATGCAAGGGGCTGCAGCCATCGCCCTGCACTTGCACAGAAAAGCTATTTCTGAAACAGCGCGTAATTGTGTCTGGTATTGAGCAGCTTTGTTGAGCAAGGGCTTTCTGGCCATTCACGACACATGTGGGAGATTTGCAAAAGTCATGGAGGACATGAAATCGTTCACTCCCTATTCCATGTCGGGAAGAAGACGCATTGCTGCTGCTTCCCCTTAGCAGCCGGCGCGCAGCCTTCGATTGCTAGCGGGCTTGGACTTGGCCAGTGTCGCCTTACTAGCGGCCTTGGATGGCCTTGGCCTTGGGCTGTTTGTCCTTAAGCAAGCGGCACAGAGGTAAGGCCAGGTTCGCCAGCGAAGTGATGTGCACGATCGAAAGATATCAACAAAATGTGACCTCATCAGTGTGCTTCTCAATCAGACTGCGAGACTCTCTGCAACTTTGGCCATATTTGACATCGGGATTCGACCGTACGCAGCTCTTCTTTGATGTCCTGCGGAAAGGCCTGGAAGTGGACGGGTGCCAGCAGCCGCGGAGCAGCTTGTCGCCACCGGGTCGAGGTACGTGGGTTGACGGGTGCAAAGGCTGCTGTGGAGGGAGCTTGTCGCCGCTGGGTCTGAGTTGAGCGACTCTGCGGATGAACTTTTCACAGCTCTCTTTGGTATCGAGGCATGCTGCAGCTTGGCCAGTTTAGACACACGCCATTGTATTTGGTCAGCCGGTGGTAGTCGTTTCACGCTAGGTGGGGTCAGCAGCTCGGGAGTGCTATCTGTTGCTCGAGCTTTTTTAGGCGGTTTCCTCGGCTCGTTGCTGATGTGGCTGACGGCGTTGCCCGGCCACCATGGCATGTGGTGATCAATGTCTTTTGTGGTGAGAGGATGTGCTCAACATGTTTAAATACCTACACACGATTCCAAGAGGAGCCGTTGGTAGGTGACTGGTCGCTAAAGCTTCTCTGTCCTAGTACACGCAGAGAAACCGGTAACCAATTAGCTTGTTCTGGGTTGCTGTACGTCAGCACTCCAAAATTGCTCAAGCAACTTCCACTTCAGCATGAGGCGTCGGGTGGGCGCACTCCATCACCATGTACAGGTACTGATCGTCTTGAAATGTGTAGTGTAGCCCAATAACCCAATCGTCCTCGAAGAAGTCACTTGGCTAAATGAACTTGTGACATCACATCTCTCCCACTCCCGAGTTATCCAACCGTCCTTGGCCGAGCTGAGTGCCTCCTTTTCAGCACGCACGTGGTGGACCTGGGCAAGAGAAGGATGATGCAGCAGGTTGGAGGGGCCAAGCATAAAGCGCCTGATTCTTAAAGACCATCTCTTTCTTGTTCATCTGCTTCATGGCCCGGATCTCTCCGGTGCCCTCGGATCCAACGCATACGTCCGACCATTTGGAGCTGCAACAGCTGCACATTCCTTACAGATGCGTGAACTTTTTAGCCTGGAGTCCGCCAGTCTACATTCTATGTGCTGCACGTGTCTCTGTTCATCCAAACATCTTGGAATACATGGCCTTCTCTTGCTTCTTCTCTCTCTTCTCGGCATCGATGGCTTTCTTCACGAGCTGTTCTGCCTCCTTGTTGCCTGAATCTAACTCCAGAGTGCGCTTTGCATCTTCGGCACAGGCCTTGAAGTTGTGCAAGGCAAACTCGGCCTGGGCCCTTCTAAAGATAGCCTTTATGTTTTTGGCGTCATACTGCAGCACCTTGGTGCAGTCGAATTTGGCCGCGTCGTGCTCGCCGATCTTCAAGCGAGCCATGGCACTGTTGTTCAGCAGTGCGACGGCCAGCTGCTTATCTGCATCGGACAGCTGAAGAGGCTCCTTGACTCCTCCGCTATCGTCGCCACCATGATCTCCATCGCATGGAATGCCACCATGGCTGTGACTTCGTTCGTCCTGTGCATCAGGATCATAAGTGATGTACTCTGCGCCGTCTTCATATCGGTTCACTGCCGTAGGGAAGTCGCCCTGCTTGAAGGCTTCTGTGCCCATGTCTTTCATCTTCAATGCATGTTCGCGACGCTCCTCTGCTGTCATCATTGCTGGCGGCTTCACCTTCTCTTTCCAAGAAAAAAGCTCAACCTCAAAATTCAGCGTAGCACCTCCGGGGATCTTGGGCGGACTTCCACGCTCCCCATAAGCATAGTCAGCGCTGCAACGCAAGATGCACTTCTCGCCTCGCTTCATGCTGATGATGCCCTGATCCCAACCTTTGATTACTTGCCCCACTCCCACATCAAATTTGAACTTGCTGTCGCGGTCCCGTGAGGAGTCGAACTTGCTCCCATCTGAATGAAGAGTGCCGACATAATGCACCTCCACCGACGACCCTGGAGTTGGTGACGCGTCGCCTTGACCCTCCACTAAAATTTTCTTGAGCAAACCCCCATCTTTCTGCTCCGAGATGTCCACAAAACCCTCGTCCTCCGCCATTGCCAGGCACTGGACGGTGGGAGGTGCTTCAAGTACTTGCTGCACATTTGGGGTCTTGTGCAAGTCGATGTGCTTTGCAAGGGGCTCACAAGAATTCGAGCCGAGCTGGCTACAGGCACAAAAAAAGCCGAAAACTGTCGCGGGATGCCCAAAACACTCGCGAAGTCTAACGAGAATGGCTGACTCAGACAGGCCTTGTGGCGACAAAGCCTGACGATGCCGAAGGCACCGGTGCCAATGACCTCGATCCAGACTTGACACAAGTGCAGGTCTAACCTTTGGTCTTTGGTCAAGGTCACGAAGTCTATGGGACAGTTCTATGCCTTCAGCAGCTCGAAGTCGCCAATAGTGATTTCTTTGCGGCTGTCCCTCCAATATGCATCCTGTCGAGAACTCGAGTATGTTCAAATTGAGGTGCGAAGAAAGGACATCTACGAATGCATTCTCCTGTTGAGCGGCATAGTTGCGTTTGATGCACTCCTTTTGCTCCTCTGGAATGTCCTGCCAACATTACAGTGTCATTACAGCGTCATGTCTGCAACGATGAAGGTCGGTCCCCCGCCTGGGACTTCAGCTGATCCCGAAGTTTCTCTGATTCCGACCGCCGTTCCTGCTCGCAGTTGCAATCTAGAAACATGTGTCACCCATCCCCTGACCAGACGTCCTGGTAGTTGTTGAAGCGCTTAACCTTACACAGGATCTCGCAGCTTTGGTTGCAGGCATGCAAGTTTCACTGGGTCCAGGTCCTTGTTGCCTTCAATCGACTTTTTCCAGGCATCAAGCCTCAACTGGCGTGGCAACGAAGGCCGTTGCATGGCCATGACAGAAGAGAGATTGCACCTGACGTTCGTCGTCGGCGGCTCCTGTCCGAATCTGTCGAATGCCGCTTGCAGTACGCTACACAGCTACTGCATGATACTGCTCTCTGCCCAGAGCCTTAACCGGCGAGGCAGTTGCCGGAGGGACTGCAAGCGTTTTCTGCATCTCGCTGATGGAAAACCTAAGCGGTGCTCGGCCTCTGACGAAACGCGGTCAAGGAAAGATGCTCGCTGCTCAGGAGCAGGCACCAGAGGTAGGCCGCTAGGGTAGTGTACTACTTATGGCTCAGAAAACCTAAGGGGCGGAGTTCCCGCAATCCCTTGGGCCACTGCGTCGTAACGCGACGCTGAACGAAATTGAAGTGAAGCTCTCAACAACTGGTCTAGCCTTTGCCACGCGACCGTGCTCACCACAGTGATTTCATGCCGCAATCTTTTGTCGTTCACTTGCCTGCACTTTGCGCGAACGGTACAAACACTTATGTCTGCCGACATCTCTTCTGCGCATCGCTTGGCATTGCAGGAGAGCTATGTCGCATGCGTGTGCGACTCTGCAGACTCGCTAGTGCTCGTGCAGTGTGCTGTGCACATCGAATGTGTTGTTTGAACGTCTCAAATTTGGAGTCTTCTCTTGCCCTTGTATTTTTGCGGCCCCTCAGCCGATGTTCAGCCGGAACATATCATTGTGGCAATAGTAGTTCCTGAGGCTTGGGACGTCGCGTGCAGCCGGCGAGCATTTGTATTCGAGAATGTCCAGTCCAAGATGCCCGGTAGGGCCCTTCATGAGCTGGAAGACCTGTGCAAACCTGGAGCCCAGTGCACTGCAGTGTCCTGCACAACAGCGGCTGAGGCTGCAGCTTCAGTGGATTCGCATTGTCGTCTACCAAGAGATTCCCAGTGATGAAGATCACTACACCTCGTAGCGGAGGGCCCTACACGGTCAAGGTTGCTTGAACCTCTGACACGCATCTGACCAACAAAAAAAAAGTTCCCGAACAGCTGGAGACGAGGCAAGCACCATCATTCGCCGAGGGCTGACAGTCGCACTTTACAATCTGGTGCTGCACCTGCAACGCTCCAGGATTCATGCGCAGCCGACAGCTGTCAGAAGCCATGACGAGGCCCACCCCCCCTCACATGAATACTAAGTTCACGCTATCATTCTCTGTGTACATTAAGAGGCACAAGAACATGGGCGGCCTTCTGGAAGGGCAAGCTGACAATCTTTTGACAAATTGCATCTGCGCCTCTGCTCCACAGGTTACAGCTGTCGACATACAAAAACGACGGCTCATCACGAGGCGGCACCTTGGAACTGCTCGCCTTCGAAAGTCAGCATCGACTGCTGGGAATACAGGGGGTGCAAGCCGGCCCTGCAAGCTTTCATAGCCAAGGCCATGGCACTGCAGTTTCGTGGATCCGATGGCACAATGCAGATTCCATCACAGGCTGTTTTCGCTTGGAGAGTACAGGCTTCAGCAGAACACAAGGTTCCTCACGGGCTGAAAGCAGCCACATAAACAATTATGTACAAGCCCATTAACAAAACAAAGTCTATGGCGCGAAACTGACGTCTGCCGTTGCCGGCACGTCCTGTTGCAGCGTGCATGCTCTTGTGAAATCCTACCCTCAATCCTTGGACGTGTGCACCTTCAGGTGGAAACACCGACTCTAGTCACTAGTCGCAGCACATCATGCCAAAAGGAACAGCTACAGCGGCTCAGGTTCAACCCTTTTTAGAGCTTTGGCACCTGCGACCCCAGAAGCGCTGCGCCATCCAGCTGCTTCGCCTGCATTCCATGCCAAGCAGACAAGACAACAGCCTTTGCGAACAATAACCACGATCTGCCATGCAGACGACTTTGTGCTGATGCAAAGAAGCACAAGGAACATGCTAGCGGCTGCTAGTGTCTTGCATCAGCGCAGTCCATAGTTTTGGCAGCAGGATCTGCTTGCATTTCTTGTCGGGTGATTGCTCTTTGCCCCAAGGCACATGCGCACTTTCGGGTCCTGCACTGTTGCGTGTCCACAGGAAGGACACAAATTTCCTGGCTTGCCCCTGCCCCCCCCCCATCCCCGACAGGGCCCCCGCACCACGCACCCCACTCCTGGCCTATCCTTGCTTCCCTCATTCCTTCCTTCAGTTGTCTGCCTTTGTGGCCGTATCCGACCGGGCCGAGGCAGCCGACGCGAAGTGTTTAGACCTGTTCGAAACGTCCTCAAAAGCATCTTCAGAAAGTCTGCCCTGAACAGCCCGTGGGTTTGACAGGAGGCCTGCTTGATTCGCTTCGGCGATATGTCGATGCCTCGGGGCTTTCGGGGCTTTCTCGTGCACGATGCAAGGCACACGCGCAAGATCCGTTGACTCATTATCATCAGGCCAGGCGGGACACCAAGAGCATCGAGACCATACCTCGGAGCTTTTTGAGAGAACCACAACGCAGCCCTGTAGCTGAGGCTCCGGCTCGTTCGCTATTGCCAGCACTGTGCCGGCACCACAGAAGGGATCTATCACTTTTCGGACACCTTCCACGAGCTAACTACGGATGCTGCAGGCATCGGCAAGTCATGCCTGGAAGTCGACGGACAACCCATTTCAATACTGACGCGGTCGCATGTATGCCCATGCCTGGCACAGCATCGGTCCACTCAAGTAACCTTATAATAATCTCAATCCAAAGTACTACACAAACCAATACACACAGACACACTCTCTTGGAGTCCAGCCATGTTGCGATGACTGAACAGTTTGGTCAATGACTCCACGACTCCGCACTACGCGTTGGACACCGTCCCAATTACATGCTTTGAACTTTGCCCCTTTTACCATTCCTAATCTGCGGATACCGGCGGAAACCCACAAACAGATCGTGTCGTAGGACGCCACACTCACATAGGACTCCGGCACGAGGGAGAAAAACGGATGTCCAACCAAACCCCGCGGCCACCTAACAAAAACAACCCCGGGAAAGCCTAAACCCGAATCCGTCGTCGTCGCGTGGCCGATGCATCCGCCGAAAGGCAAACATGTGATGTGACTCAATCTGACCAGCTCGTTCAATGCGTCCACCAAATCGGCTGCTGGAGTAGGGAGGATGGAAAAAAGCGGGCGGACAAATAAAAACAGTGCTTAGCCTCCCCAAACTGTGTGCAAAGACACCCATGAGCGAAGGAAACGCTTCCCAACTACCAGGCCGCAAATCACGCTGAGGATCCAAGGCCAGCATGGAAAACAAAGCAAAACAGAGAGAAAGGAAACCGAAAAGATAATTTTGTCATCACCCGGCTGCGTGCGAAGGTGTTTACGAGTGATAACAAACGCCACCCAGCGACCACCGGCGCGAAAAATAATTGACCTGGGATGCAGCCCAACACAGAGCAGGAGAAAAAAACTTTTTCCTGTGCGCAATGGCGTCCAAGTTGGACACAATCTCAATGACATGCTGTGTGCCCCTCTGCTAGACCCCTGCCCTAAACCCGAGAAAGCTTGATCCCTTTTGCCCCTATAGTAGGACGGCGCGCACACAAGGACAACCTCAAAGAGCGAATCAATTAATCATGCCAGCGGGGCAGCAAGCGCCCTTGCGGAGACCGGGAGGCTTTGATCCCCTCTCCAGGATGTCCGGCAGAGTGCTTCCCAGGTCCACGACAGGGTCCGTTTCAGTGGTAACTCCAACTCGAGGAAGACCCAGCGTCCGAGCAAAACACAAGAGGTGCGTAAACTGGATCGCATTCCACGTTGGCTGGTCCACAGTGCCGAAATGGACAATCTTGTGCCACTTCAGGCGCACCCCCGAAACCTGGCTGGCAGCATGAAGTACTAAATACGACTTGCTCACCTGGCCAATCCCAGCCAAACGAATATCTGTCTGGTAAAATACAGCCACACCACCAGAAGGTAATGCCTCGCCGAGGTTATCTCAGGGCTGATCTGAAAATAAATCGTGCTGTTGTGCCTGAAATACTTGGAAAGTCCTAAGTCCTAAGGTCTTACGACTCGACACGCGGCCTCCAAAATGCTGCGGACGGCATCCAGGAAGAATGCCTCCCAATCTTCAAAGCGAGGTGCAAATTCCACCACCTCCGACACATCCGGTAGCGATGTCAGGATCATCGAGTCGGATGAGAAAGTCCCCACATCACGGATCCAGGGCAGGGCATCGGCGCAGACAACCTCTCGCTTGGGGGTTTTCATGCCATCGTTCGAACTCGGCGCAGGGCCCTCCGCCCTTTTGCCCTTCGCGCCAGTATCCAAAGCTCCACGGGCCAGGCCTCAGGGCTGGCAGACTTGGAACACCTTGTCTTGTGCAAACCGAGATGTGGGGCCAGCAGCTTGCTCAGCTCGCACAGCTGGTTCGGGTTGCGAATGCGAGCGCGGGATCAACCTTCGTGCGGTCGGTCAGGCACAGCGTCAAATGCGCGCGTGCGGCGTGCGCCGCAAAGCTACAGTGCAGCTCGGAGCAGAGGGGGGCACCTGGCCTCGTCAAGAGCAAGGCCGTGGCAGCACCGGCGGTCCAGGCGATCAGCAAAGGAAGTTGGAGACCGTCCCCTGGCACACAACTTGGATGCACATAGGAGCAAGATGGTCCACAATCGGGGGACAAGAACAAGATGAAACAAAATCCTTGGCAATCGAACCAACATCAGGTTATCCCTTGATGAGTTAGGATTTGAGCCCTTCGCCATTCCATTCACATGTCGGGCTTTGCCGATGGGTCTGTCCGGAGCCGTCTGCACGTTGAACACGATAGTGATGGCTACACTTTGCTTCCGAGCTCAACACGCTCGCAGCGACTTTCGCCAGGTTTATCCCGTGCCCAAACTACAATCCAAACAACATGGAGACTCATTCAAACGCTGATGCTCTGGAACAACCCAAGCTGTATTGGCTCCTTGATTCGAAGTTTCACTATCTTCCTCCCAACCAGTCGATTGAAATCAATGTAGCACGGAAAAATGTCGGAGTGATTCGCTGCAGGGACTCCAATTCTAACGCACGGGCAGATCCTGCAGAGGCACATCTTTAGCTGGGGCTTGGGCACATGAGTTGGCGCTTTCGCAGAGCACGTTTGCATTACGGCACTGCACAGTGACATCTAGGAATTACTGGCTAGGTTGCCAATCGATAGAAATGTTGGCGGAATAATTTGCGCTGGTGGCGCAGCCGCGTTCGAACACTTCCGATTTTCGATTGCATAGATGCCTGTTTTCCGACACCATCGCTTGTTCAGAAAGTCTCCGCAAATCTGTTGTTCCGGGTGAAACCCAGCGTCCAGCGTCGAACGGATCCAAGCAGCTGCTGTAGAGGGCGCAGTTCTGATGCCTGCCAGTCAACTTCAATTCAACATGCCTTTAGGCGCAATCACAATCTTAGAGGCAGATAGGAGACAGAGCTTTGCTTCCCTCGCCTTGCAGCAGGCACCGATCACCACATTCAGGTTGAGGACATTGGGCTTCAGATCATCACAACTCATTGCCTGGTGTTGGGTTTTTGGCGTAGCGACAGGAATATGAAACAATTATAAGCAGACTACCTTCACAACCACGAAACCCGCAGTCCACAAAAGCGAGTCTGCGGACAGGGGCACTGCAAGAAGCTCCAAGGACTCTTTCCATTGCCAGGTGTCTTCACAGGAGCTTACAGCGGCATTGTATGCTATCTCCTAGGCCGCAAGCGAAGCCAACGTTCACCACAGCAGGGCTGAGGCTGAGCTGCCAACCTCCGGTCTCAAGCCTTGGATTCGATCCCAGCGCTTCTCGACACCAGGGTTACAGGGACAGGGTGCTTCCGCCGCGCCTCCACCAGCTTCACGAAGCTGTTGCAGAAGCAACAGTGACCCCGCCCACTGTTTGGCCTTGGCACAGGCGCTGACACCTGCACTGTTCGTGACGAGATCTGGCACCAGCTGCAATGCCATCGTCTGGCACAGAACGAACAGTGCTTGTCTCCACCTGCACGGACCCAGGATGGAAGACACGCTGACATTGCCGGATGCGGCACGGACGAAGCCTCCCAGCTCCACCACTTGCGCTTAGAACAGCATTGTTGGAGATGACATCTGCGGCGATCCCACTTTGCTTCAGTAGGCAGACAGCCTGACGGGCAGGGCGAATGCGCTGCATCCGACAAAACTCGATGAGTGCTGGCCTGCATCCATTTCTGTGTCTTTTCCATGGCACTGAGGACGGCATTGAAGCTGATGGTATCCGGCAAAAGGGCATACAGCTGCAAAGTGTCGAAGACTAGCATGGCGCACTTCCACTCACCTGCTTTCTCCTGGACAGCATGACTCGGATAGTCACAACAAGCAGGAGCCCCATCACAAACTCTCTCGCGATATGGCAAGGCTCACAGGCACTTGAAGCAGCATTGAAGAGGATGAGATTGGGAACCACCATCGTCGATTCCAGTGCGCGCTGCAACAAAAGAACTGCAAGCTGCCACTGGGCCGCTTTCTCACAGGCGCTGATTAAGGCCCCGAATCCCACGACATCCTGAGCTGGCAGAACGCTCTCCACTCGCTCTCGCTCCTTCTATCGCTCCCTTTCTCGCTGTGAATTCGATGAAAGAAGAGATAGTGCCGAAACTTCACCCGGCTCTCCGACTCGGCGGCTCTCTGTGCCTGTGTTCCTCCCCTTTCTCTCTCGCTTCCCCGCAGTCGCTTTTGCAAGCTGGTTGGTATCTAGTGGTAAGTAGTCCGAGCTTCAATCTGCGTCCTGCTGGACATCATCGAAGCATACAGCGCCAAAGCAGCTGTCCACATCCCGGCCTTTTCGCAGGCGCTTATGGCCGCGCTGTAGCTTACCACGTCTGGAAGCGCTAGCCAGGATGCCATTGTTGCAAGAAGGCTGAGGGCAGTAGCCCACTCGCTGCTCTTCGCACATGCAGTGATGCAGGCGTTGACTGCAACGCGATGCGAGCCCTTCAGCTCGCCCAAATCCTTCAGGGCCAGTACTGCCGTCCCATGCAAACCCAAACGAGAGCCTGACAGGCCTCACGGATCCTCACGGCCTGTAAGGCCTAGGGGCCTAGACCCGAGAGCAGCCCCCACACCAAATCCTCTAAGATCGCGAGGGCAAGAGGCCATCGCCCAGCTCCACAGGCACTGATCGCCGATGTTGCCGCAAAGGAGTTTTGAGGCACAGCAGCGACGAGCTCCAGCCCCCTCTGCCAGCAGCTGCACGTCGCACAGGCCTGGATGGCGGCACCGAAAGTGACTTCCGAGGGCCTCACTGCGAACTTGGGCATGTCTTCAAAGAGTAGGAGTGCCCTTTGTGCTTCTTTGCTTCTGGTGCAGGCGACAAGGCAAGTCGTGTACGTCACGACGTCAGGAATGAGGATTTGCTCTTGCATCAAATTCAAAGCTTGCAGAGCCTGGGACCAAAGCCTCTGCTCGCATCCACAAGCAGCAATCACCGCACTGCACTCAGTTGACTTGAAGCTGGTAAACCAGGCTGTGGAGAGCTGCTGTACCATCGGCCACTTCCTCCGCTTCCCCAGGATGCCAGCGCTCTCTGACTCTGCATCCAGACTCTTCTCGCCCAACGCCGCCATCCGTCTTGACCTGTCCGACAGCCCCCGGAGCGACCATGCAGCATCCTCTCTCTTGGAGATGGAAAGTGGCAGCAGCCCATGCCCCAGGCATTGCTCGGAGCAGACGTCCTATCTATCCCACAGTGGGGTCGGGACTGAAGCCAGGTGAGCTGCCATTCAACATACGAGCACCTCCGTGGGACGAGCAACCCCCATTATCGGCCATCGTCTCTTACATGTCGCATTCAAGCAATTTTCCGAGACTGGCATCACGAAGACGCAAGGTAACCCTCACCGCACAACTGTTCCTGTCGGCGGTGGTTGCCACAAGGATTCCTGCCTGAGAAAAGTCTTAACTAAAAGCAAGAGCAAGGAACTCGCAGCTCGCCACTGTCACTTTCAGCTTTCTTGGCCCAGTCAAAGGATGCATTCTGCAAAGAGGACTCACCGGCGTACCTGCGTAAATCTGGTCTGCATCCTTCTGCGATGTAAGGAAGGCTCCGTTGCCTCTCTGCGTGCATCTTGCACTCCATCGTTTAAGCTGATGTTGCCGTACCTCTCAGCCTCCCCGAGTTTCCAGGCCTCGTCGCCTTGCCGGTCATCCTTGGGGCATCTTGGGGCCGAAGCCAAGGCGGGTCTGTTTTTGCATTCCCACTACATATGATAGTACGGACCATCAGCCTCATCATCCTGCAGCATGAACGCAATGGAAGCATCGCCCTCCATCTTGCCAAACATCATGGTACCGCAGAACTTCGCACGAAGGCCCGTGCAATCAGGCAGTGAAGGAACTTCATGGAAAAAATGTGCCTGGCGCAAGTCACCGCAGGAAATTGCCAGGCAAGCACAGATCTCGGACAGCTTGCCCACACCTGTTTTTCTGATGCAAGCACTCATGGCCTTCACGGTCTCCGGAATGCAATCGTTCATCTGACAGAAGACTTACAGTAGTTGCTCTGCGGCTGGTCATTCTTGATGAAATCTCCTGAGGCTTAATGATCATGCCAACAACAAGGCCACCGCTGCTTGTACTTTTGTACTCGCCACATGTCCACCATAGTCTAGAAGCGAAGAGGTAGGTAGGAGTCGTAGATTTTGCCATACTCAGAATATTCCATACCGACAACATCCAAGCAGCACCAGCACGAGAGCTCAATGGCTAGGCAAATAGCCGATGCAGTCTGTACTCGACTGAGTCGGTTCGACACTCTTCCCCTTCCATCTCCGCTATCTTAAAAGGCTCTATCTCTGGTTTTCTAGCCGTCTATTGGACGTTGACTGGGCGTTGTTTCCCTTGACTGAGGAGCAAATCCCGGTCTTGCCGTTGGTTTCATGCAATCTACCAGCCGACGGAGCTTTTCAACGGCAAACCTAGACATTTGAGCTGCCTTACCTTCCTGGAGTCCTGTGTGTCTGGCCCTTTGTCACAAGTGGCATCTCGGGGTTTGGGCTTAGGAGCGCACCCGCGCCGGGGCACAGCGGGGCCGTGAAGGAGCCCTGCGAGCTTAGGCTGAGGCACGAGCAGCAACTCCGGCGAGTGTGTCGTGAGCGCTGCGTCATCTCTGAAGGCGCCGCAACTATTGCAAGACAGCAAGAGCCGAAAGGGGCTCTGTTTGAGCCTATGTTTGTCGTGTGACTGCGATCCTTCACCTGTCTGCCAATGCAACCGTGACATTCATACAAGCAAGGCTTCGAGTCGCAAACATGCCGGGGATGACGAAGGCCGATACGGCTTGTCATCCAGACTCCAATGGTTGATCACAACATATTTCGCGTGGCCATGGGGCACATGCGCATTCGCTCGGGCAGGAGACACCGCTTAGGGCTTAGAACCAAGATGCGGAAGCATCCAGCAGGCAGACATGCTCGGCGAACTGCAGTGTAACTGACAGCAGGAATGCTGGGGAGCAACCTGTTTGTTTGGCTTGGAGGCTGAGGCAACCAACTCACGCTCCACTCCAGATGTAGCAAACGCAAGCCTGTTCGTGTCGAAGGTCTGGTAGTAATGCTGGCAAAACCTGAGTCATCCAGATTGCCCTGCTCCAAGATTCATCAATAGTAAACCGACTGTTCGAGGAAAGGGCTGCTCGCCTATCTGCTGGAATGCCATCAGTGCCTGCAGCTTGCACAGTATCGCTCGTGCCAAACTGGACCAAGACAATAGCTGCGACATGCACTTCATGTCGTGACTGGATCTTCTTGCCTCGAGCCGGGGGCACAAGGCCTCTGTGCAGCTCTCTCAGCACAGGCGGCTTGGACGCCAGGAGCTGTGCACTTTGAGCCGAGGGAATCCCGAATTGCTCAAGGTCAAGAAGCGTGGTGTGCACGGCGCTGAAGCTCCCTTCTCATTTTGCCGCAGCTTCGGGACAGCACGGCCCAGGTCATGGCGTCTGCAGCTTTCGGCAGCGCTCCTCGGGGTCGCAGGCGAAACTTGGAGACCCGCGGCTCCGTTCGGCTCCGTCCCGTAAGTTCGATGCCATTCGGGAGCTTTGCTGCAGTCGCTTCCTTGGTCTAGCGTGGAAAAGCCGGTCTGTCGGCTTTTGGGAATCACTGTCTCAGGCGGCGGCCTCTTCCCCACCAGCGTTGCCACACGCAATGCTTTCTTGTGGAAACCCTGCTCTAAGACCTCAAAAACGGAAACAAGGACGTACTCAACAATCGCATCTCCTGCAACGCCCGCCATGCTCTCACATGCTAGGCACCAAACAGGTTTGGCCATGAGGGAACTTCTCCTAGCATTGTGGCCAGGGTCCCGATCCCGACACAGATCGCAAAGCAAAACACGTCAAGCTGCGAGCAGATGCTCTGCCACCTGGTACACCCAAACACGGAATGTGACCCAACCCCAACTCTCAAGTACTTTCACTCTCAAGCCTAAACTTCACGTCCAAAACGTTGAAGAACTTCTTCTTAGCTAGATGGGAGTGTGCTTGACCGCAGCAAGGCCTGGCTGAGACCTCGATCTTGTCGTGATCCGTCCTGTATTCCACGGATTTCGCCTTTCAGGTGCACAGAGGCAAAAGATGCGCCGAATCGCCCATCCCGGGACCTGAAGGCAGTCTTCATCGGAGGTAGGAGCCAGTGGCACTCCAAAGTTCGGCTTGCCCGCAAGCCGCTCCACCTAGTCCATTGGCTTTGGAAGTCAGAATAAGAAAATGAAACCCTTGAAGACACCTCCTCTTGCCTTTCTTCCTCCTTCCGTCGAAGTCGATGTGCTTTCCGCAAAACACTGTTCCTTTGTTGCCAGCCAGACAATCAGATATGTCCGATGCAACGCAACTACTCAGAAGGAGATCGCTTCACACAAATGGCACAACAAGTTCGATATCTACATGTGCTGTGCCACAGCTCCATCCGTAGGAATCCTCGCGCTCGTCTTGGAGGTCCTACGCAAGCACTTCAGGATTTCGAACCCATCCATTTTCGTTTACAGCGGTCTGTCGTATGAAAGATGTATTGCTGGCTTCAGCCCTCAGATCCGGTAAGGCCACGAGAAATATTCGACCGAAGCAACGGAGCTGCGAAACATCGGAAAGGCGACGAACCCACCTAAGGTATCAACTACACAGAAATCATCAGAAATCCATGCGGCTGGGGTGGGAAATCCGCGATGAAACGTTAAAAACCTCTCAATCAAGCCGCGGCTGACATACATCAGAACCTGCTGCGGTGCCCTTTCACGATTGGCTTTCCTTCGGTCCCGCTGCTGAGAAATACCCTGTTGGCGAGATACTCAGCCTAAAGCCCTGCACGGTCCCACACACAATGCAGAGGCTGAAGGCCGATGACCCCACCGCACTTCGCCCATGCTTGTTTCTTGTATGCTAGCTTCGACAGCCCAAGACACGACCTGATCTCCTTCCACACACATGACACCTCTTAGTGATTCGTTGATTCGGGAATCTGAGCCAATGTGTCAATGCATGCATGCGGTGATTGCAAGTGCGTGCACTAGAGGCAGGACAGTTTTCACCTTAAAAATGTGCAATACTTCGTCTTCAGGTACAGCTGAACATGGACATGTTGATGTGCTAGGCCACTGGAGATTTACCTGTACAAAGTGACTTGTTGCTTTGCACTGCGAGTTCTAGCCAGGCAACGTCTCACTCAGAACAACCGTAGGTGGACAACATTCCACTGGTTGTCTGATATCTGAGAGATGGCGAATGAACGTCACACAACAGCTTGACGGCAGAGAGAAATGGTGGCGCAAGAAGCACAAAAGCGATTCTCCGTAAACCCTCTTCCGACAGTCTAACGACAAGGTGGGAGGGATCGGGGAAGAAAGACCAAAACTGGGCCTGAAAACACAGCCTTGAAGGATCCTGATGCGAGCACAATGTATTGAGAAACTTGTGTATCAACAAACTGCTCTGTTGGCAACAAGAAACGCCTCTAAGCACTATACACAACAAAATTTGTTTGAGCTCGTGCACTGCTGGTGCATCGCTTTTCGGAGCTGAGCATGGCCGTTCTTGAGAAGATGCCCACTTTGATTCACAAATCTAAGGTACAAGCCTACCGTTGCCATGCTTTTTTCATAGCTGGTTCTCATGCTTTTGGAGAATGTATGTGAGCAGTTTTTGTGAACTCCGATCCTGTGGACACAAATAACAAGGCAGGTCCCTATGTTGCGGGCCGTGCCCAGCCTACTCTGTTCGCTTGACATGTGGCGGCACTCCGGTCGATCTCCAGATTCACCTCAAATTGCTCGGATTCTGCCTCGACCAGGTCGTAGAACTCGATTTCTCCGGTGAGCAAAGCATTTGCTGGCATACTTTATCTTTATCGGATGCCTGGTAGACCTGCCCTGTCTTTAGACAGATAAGTTTTCTCCATCGCAAAACACCCATACGGTTCCACTTTTCCGAGAACTGCTAGCCAACTGTTCTCCAACCCCGCTTCCAAACTTCAAATCCAGCTCCTCTATGTGGGATTTGCGTGCTGATGATCCAAGTTAGACTAAAACAGCCATGAATCCCTTTCGGCTGCTCGCGCTCCCTTGGTGCCTGCGGTTGTTTGCCGAGGGCATCACCAGAAGGAGTCACTTAAGGTCTGAAAATGATAATGGCCAGTGGGCCACAGTGCACGACAAGGATGCCGGCTATTGTAATTGTGGGATTTCCATGGAAATTTTCGATGTGTAGGGCGAAGGCCTCGCAACAAGCACAGTCCACAACAATCTGTCTTGTGCTTTTGGCTAAAATTTCGGCAGAAGGTGTGGAACTGTGCATGAACGGGGCATGGTCATGCCGTAATCATCATCATCTACATGCTTGCACCGCGCTCAGTTTGGCCTGGCATAAACCGAGACGGGCTTCGCATGTGCTCGAAACGAAGTACAATGCATGTGCACCGCACTCACGAGTCTAGGTTTTTGAGTCTGTGACGGGAAAGGTATTGCAAAGAAACGGATGCTTGGACGAATTGCCGACTTGGGGCGTATGCTGGTCTAAATTCAAGATTCGTGACCGAAGAATGAAGTGCATGCGCCAGACCGGCCTGACGAAGCATTTTTCCATAGCATATGACCGAGTTGATAGCAAAACAAACCGAGAAATGATGAGCTTCCGCCTGCTAACTACTTCGGCAACTATGGCATCCATCGCGCGATTGTCCGAGCCGACCAAAAACGACACTCAATCGATTTTCGAGATGCTGCTCGAATGCTCGGTGACATGCCGCGACAAGGCTGAACAACACAGCAAAAGAGCGCGACTCAATGGGGCGAGTTTGCTTGAGGCGCAAGCCCCAGGCGAGGCATAACATGCTGCAGGGTTTGACGGCATGATTGCACCACCTGCGTGCTAGGATCCCATGATTGTGAAGGAACCCAAACTACATCGCTAAGAACTGCACTGCATACTGCTGCAGATATGGCATGACAACCTTCACTGACACTCGGACATGACGCCTGCCATTACACAAAGAGCACGAAGCAGCTCGAAACATTCACCCTTGTACTGTACGGATGGGTTGTCTTGAACACTCACATCGTCTCCAGCTGGGGGTGTTTTCGGCAAGCTCCCGAAGCATCCCATCCGACCCAAAACAGTCGCCTGCCCTCGAGTTCCGTCCCGCGAAATCCGTGGAGTGCTCCACAAGTATGCGACTTCGTGGCAAACACTGCTGCCTCTGCTAAACAGGTGGGTCGTCTCGCTCCCCATGCTTCCGCGACCTGTCCTGAAGGTCCGACAAGCGCGCCTTGTCGTTTCGCTCCTTCTGCATGTCTCCTGAGTGAACAGTCCCAGCGAACTTGCCCGAAAGCCCGAAAGCAACTCGATGCAGCGTCCGAGCTGCGCACGTGTCGTCTTCTCCACTCGGAACATAGGGTCAGCTTCCATTTGTCTCCGAGTTTCTGGATCCACAAGCTCCAAGGTCTCGGAGTCCTGCTTCAGCGGCAAACAATTTCAGTATCGGTCCCGGCCTTGAGCTGGGAACAACAGACGCATCTCCAAGACCTTGCTATCCCAAGCTTCGATTTTTCGACGAAGCCCCTCCGCCAACTCGTAATCGTCCTGGCAGTCATTCTTCGACCACCCAAACAGACCCCAAGACAAGGCATAAGTGTCCGAACCAGGCAGCTGGACGTTCTTGGGATCGGTACGGATGACTAGCCGTTGGTTGCAGTGTGCTCGCCCTGCGGGGGATTTTGCGACAAAAAAACATAGACGAGATTCTCGGCGCATTGATCAATTTTTGCTGCCTTCATTCCAGATCCCTTCAGGATCTGAAAGATGCCTCTGCACGTTCAGACTCAGAGAGCTCCCCGACTCCAACTCAGCCAAGCTTTCCAGGACTTCTGTAAGCGGCAGTGATGAACGCCAGAAAGCCCAGAGCAACCCGTGGTTGCACATCTGAAATCGGTGGGGTGCCGTATGGAGGAAGACATGCGCAGCCTCTGTAAAGGGATGGCTGCAGACCGGGCTAGAGGTGAGGGCCCGTGCAATGTTGGACAGGGCTTGCGGGCCCGGTTCCGGTAGCATTCCCTGTCCAGCAGCAGCAACAGCACAGGAGGAGACACCGTCAATGGCCTGCATCTTCGCGGGATCTCAACAGGTGTTGGCTGCATGTTGTGGAGAGAGATGGGCACATGTCTTCGTAGCCCGGCAGGCAGTGGAATTCAAAGTAGGCCGTCGTCAAATTGACATGGTACTCAACGCTTGCACGAAGTTGGCCGCATCCTGACCGGTGTGCTCCGTAACAAACCTGAGAGACTGCTGTCCGGGAGCATTGGTAAGAGGATCATGACGAAATGCCAGAGTAGCCGTCTCCCAGCCCATGGTTGTAGTTTCCTGCTACTTGAACTGATTGACTTTCAGCTGGGCTGCGACACCAGTAGCATCTTGCAGCAGCCTGCCCTGAAAAACCAGCGAGGCAAGTGTCCACGCACTGGTGGAGAGACCCTGCGGACTTGGCTCCCTGCAAGGAACTCTGGCCGATGTGAGTGACACAAGAGGCCGACCAAAAAGAGCAACAGCTGTGAAGCCCCATGCTGCGTTTGCAAGCCCTCTGGCGTCCATGTGAGAGATCGCCGAGCATGATTGCTTGATGAGAGACTGGAAACGGGGGGCAGACGGGTCCGCCTCCAGCTTTGCAAGTCGGTTCAGCGCTGTAGCAACACTTACCGCATCCAATGATTCTTTTGCCAAACCGGCAGACTTCTTGGCAGAATGGCCCAATTAATCCAAAAGGTCATAGACGTCCGCTGGTCTTTGGGCGGCCAGGAGGCTCTCACCCAAACGACGCTGCATTTTGGAAAAGCCGTGCTGCTCGATGAATCGGGTCCTTATCCAGGCGCCGGGAAAAGATGCAGCAGAACATGAGTTGAGGCATCTACAAAGGTCATATCCAGCGCTCCTTCCAGATTGGCCTTTTGGCAGCACCCAGCTGCCTGCCCCTTCCACCATGGTGAAACATGGCTTCAGGAATAAACCAGCATGACCGAGCACGGTAACGAAGTAATTTCAACACTGTGTCAAAACTTGCAGTACAAGTCTCAGTCCCTTGTCGGTGTGAGCAAGCAGCATGCAACAAAGACTTCGAACCTACATCATGTGCAGCATGACGAATGGGTCAGAAAAACTGAAGCAAATGACAGAAAATGCGAAGCACGTGCACAAACTGGCACATTGACATGGCGTTCGCACCGTTGGCCGACCGTTCTGGGCTGACGATGTTGCCTCAACACTGATACATCAGAACTGGTACGTCAGTGGCATAGAATGCAGCATGTCTCAACCTGCGAGGACGATTGCAAAGATAGCCCGATATACTACCGGCTGACTGCTTGCCGGGCTGCCACAATGCATGGAAAACTCGTAAAGCGGGGTCGAGAAATACATTCCGACCTTCTTCTTGTCCGCCTGCCGGAGAGCCGAAGTGCAGCAGTGTGGCAGGAACCAGCACCACAGCGCCATGCCATGTCACAAACTTGTGCATCCATGTGGCGTTGTATCGTGTGCCCTGGCGAATGTACAGGCCACACCTAGAGTCTGGAAACACGCTGAGACTGATGCATTCTGGGCAATACCTCTCCGGCGCCTCGAACATTGAACTGTAAAAGGCATCTCGAAGCGAATAAGGAGCACCTTCGGGCGGGGGAGTCGGAAGCCGAGCAAGCAAGTCAGTCGCCGAGCAGCAGCTCTTCGCCGAGGTGCTCCCTTGCTCAGGTTCTTCGTCCGCTCCTTGCCGAAGTGATGCTCGAAGCCTCTCCTGGCCACTCAGCGCTACCGAACAGCATTGCACAGCCCATGCCCTGAGATAGCCGGCTTCCGCTGGAAGTGATCCAAAGAACCTCTCGAAGGTTTCCATTCCTTGGAAGCTGCCGCAGGCTTCTGGGCACGTGGCGGCGTGGCGGCACGCCACGTGAGACGAGCCTGCGGGTAGTAGAAAGAATCGGCGCAGGCGGCCTTGAGGCTGATGTCCTGCGGCGAGGCGGCGAGGCGGCGAGGCGAGGTGCTGGGTCTGAGCCCCTGGTTTCTCCGGGACTTATCCTTCGTCATTGCGCTCACGTCGGGGCGCTTCGGCCTCTAGCCATGGCCATGGCACCGGCAGAAGGGCAGAAGCCACAAGTCACAAGAACCTCCACACACGCGACACCTCTACTTCGCGAAGCCAATGAAGCCGATTGTTCCATGAGCCCAAAATGCCAGACAAGGACATGAGCAGAGCAAGCAGGAATGGTGCAGCATCTCAGACGTACGGATTCTTCCCAAAGCTCCCTGCTCACCCATTTCCATCCGACCCGTCACGGACAAGGGGACTGCGCAGGCTCAGAAGCGGCTGAAGATGTGTCCGGGAGCCCTTGTTTGTGCGGTTGCTGGACATGGCGGCCATGAGCTTGGAGCCCTTCTGGGATCACGGCCCCATGAGCATGTTAGGGTCCAGCTGACTACCTCCTTGGATCTCCCCTTTCACCTGGCAGGCTCTGCCAGGCCATGTCAAACGCCCCGGGCGCGTTTAGGCAGAAACTGGTCAGACACACCACCCGCAGGTCCTCAGCACTGAGGGGCGGCTTAGCACTGAGGGAGGCTTAGCCGCTGGAGATTTCAACGTAAGGCCGGAGCTCCATCATGCAACTTCTCCATTTCCAGTTCATGCCTCCAGGCTCTCAGCATCGCTTTGCCAAACACGACGGCCACCGGGCCTCACTACGAAGTCTTCCATAGCACCGATTGCCTGATCCTTTCACGACTTGCGCTCAGGGCTCACATGGCGGAGTGGAACCCCCCGTGCCCCCCCGTCCAGCGTGACCCACACAGAGGTCATGTCGCCGCAGGAACGCTCCTGCCAGGAAGCGCCTGAACGCCCCTGAGTCGGAGACCCAACTTACGCCTGCCAAGAACCTTCTGCGCGGTGGTAAAAGCATAGGCCGCCGACCTTGGGACTGCTCCCAACGTGCATCCTGGAATCCGAAATATAGATTGGTCAGAGGTCGACCTTCCGTTCTGCTTGACATCGTGCACGACGGTTCCCTTCCAGGCCTGGGCAGCACAGAGAAGCCAGGAAACGGTTTTCTGGGAAGTCTCACATGCTGCGATGACCTGGCAGTCGCATGCAGTCGCCCAGGTCCGAGTCCCTCACACAGCGTGATACCTCGAGTCGGGTTTGCCTGGCCAAGACTGCGGGTCACGAGAGGTGCGCCGAGGCCGAGCCTCGCCTGGCAGAAGTACTCACCTTCCAGCGATTCCACCACCAGGGCTGTAAGCTCAGCTCCATCGTACACGTGCTCGCAGAGGCGGTCACTCGGCTGCAGAGCCTCCAGAACGGACGCGAAGGCGACACACCACCAAACGAGGGTATGTTCGATGCCTCAGTCTCTACTGCAAGGCGGTACTCTGTTCGCGGCAAAGGCGGAACGAGTTTTGCAAGCTCTCCCGCAAGCCTCAGTTCTGGCATTTCATCTCACGACAGGCGAGGGAACTGCAGTGTCAACAACGCTGCTCTGTCTTCGCGCAGGTCTCGCAGGAACAGCTGACCTTTTCAAATCGGGCTTTAGCTGGCCAGATGTGCAGTTTGCGTTCACCGTAAGCTCCGCCAGAAGCTCTCCTGCTCGGATGTTGCCATGCAAGAGATTGCTCTAGGGATTGTAAAAACGAACCAAGCGCCGGATGCTCTGCAAGCTGCAACCGAGGTGAGCTCGGGCACTTGAGACCTTTTGACGTGCTACTGCACTGAATTATCTTTTCGTCTTTTTTGGGGTGGTTACGGCCTGTTGCTTTTCAGTTACTCCTGTCTTTCTGTTTGGGGTGAACTGCGTCTTGTTTCGCCTGAGCTCCTTTGCCTGCTGTCTTTAACCTGCATTTTTGGGCAGAGCTCCTGTAGCTGGCCTGTGCTGTTTACTTTGGGCCGCCTTGTGTCTCTTCCTGGTTCCTCGAGGGTTTTACAGCGAAGGCGCTGTAACCATGACAGGACACACCTGTTCTAACCATGACAGGATTTGTGCCCAGCGGGACAAGGACAGCATGCCTTTTCCCAGCGGGTTCACGAACGGGGGTGGTTTGGACTCGGTTTCTTCGGGTTTTCGTGTTTTTGGTTCAGGGGGAAAAAAGGTTTCAGAAGGGTTAAATTGAGATTTTTCAGATTGCTGCTGGAGTCATTCATGTTTAAGCAATGTTATGTTATGTTATGTTATGTTGCTAGGAAGTGCCTGTTCTGGTCTGTAATGCTGTGATATGCTATGCCAATGTCATGCTTTTGCTATGCAATGTTATGCCCTGCTATGTGGTGCTATGTGAGGTGATGTGATGTGATGTGGTATGGTGTGATGTAAATGCTTTCGGTGAGCTGACAGGCTTACTCGAAGGACAGTCCTGGAATTTCGTGCTGAATCCGGCCGCACAGCATGGCAAGTCCGAGTTTTGATTGAAAGACAAAGTGCCCAAGTTGCATGCACTAGCACAGCGGATCATAAGCTCCAACCTTGGCCTTCAAGCCAACTTCAGGCATCCACTTAGTTTTCAAGAGTCCAGCAAGGGGAGTAGCCTGAGACCCGCAGTCGCCCGAACCCCCGAGACCTTTGCCCGCGAGACAGCCGAGCTTCAAGTATGGGACCTGCCTCGCAAGCCGCATGTCTTCGGGAAAGGGTCGGGGAAGGCAGATCGCGGGGCACATGTGTGTTCCAAGTTTTGGAAAAGAGCTCATGGCCAGCCGGAGTGCTGGCATTTTGAGTTCGTCAGCTCGGAGACGGTGGCTGAGCTGTGGACGAAGAGGTACCGAGAATGGTACTTTTCACTGGAGAACCGCTTGGCCAGAGGCGGTCGCTGAAAGAGTAGGGCGGACATGAACACCACCGCAACAAAGCCAAACCACAAAGGCTAGAAAACCGCATGCAAAACGGGTCTAGCCGGTTTTGCGCTGTTTTGCTTGTGGCAGCACAAAACAGAAACCAAGCATGTCATGTAGATGCAGTTGCAAAAAGGCTAGGAATCCCTCGCGCAGGCTAGGTTTCCAAGAAGGCAGCCCTGAATCGGCAAGTAGCTGCAAGCACACAAGTGTCTTAATTTTGCGGGGAAATCTTCCCCGTTAGCGAACCCGCTGGCTGCCTTTTACTGCAGCTCCTGCCTTGACAAGAATTGTAAGGAAACCTTGCTGCACCCAGTGTAGTGTTTTACGTGTTGGTTGATGAACTATTAAGATTTCGGCTTTGCCACCGAATACGGCCTTTTAAGGTTTCGAGATTGCCACCCAGCATCTTCTCTCGATGTTTAGGCATTGGCTTGCGACCTTTTACATTTAGGGTTCGGTTTACCACCTTTTCGGCTTCAGGCATTGCCACCCAACATCTGCTTTTGGGGTTTAGGTTTTGCCACCTAGTTTCTTTCAGGGGTTCGAGTTTAGGTTTAAGGCTTGCCACGCAACATTTGCGTTTAGAGCTCAGGCTTTGGAAAGCAACGTGTCAGGGCTAGGGCTTGCCGTTCAATACGACAGGTTAGGCTTTGGAGTTTTCCACCCAACATCTCCTTTTTAGGGCTTAAGTCTTGGCAGACAGCTTCTTCGGGTTTGGCCCAACACGACCCTTTCAGGGGTTTAAGGTTTGTGACGCAACATCTTCATTTTGTGTTTGAGCTTTGGCTTACAGCCGTTTTACGACCTTTGGCGGTTTACAACCTGTTGTGACCTTTCAGGGTCTAGAGTTTGGCACCCAATATCTTACGTAACGTTTAGGCTTTGGACTGTTGGATTAAAAACTTTGGTGTTCAGGCTTTGCCACCCTAGAAGACCATTTAGGGTTTATGAAGTGCCACCCATCATCTCATCTCCTTCAATTAAGGTCTAGCTTTTGGTCGTACTTTCAGGGTTCAGACTGGGCCACCCAATAGGACCAATTCGGGCTTAGGATTTGCGACCTATCATGTCATTTGAAAACTCAGGCTTTGGTCTGCGACCTCTCAGGGTGTACGCTTTGCCACCTAATGCGACCTGCTAGGGTAAAGGACAATCTTGCCACCCAACATCTTCTTATCGAATTTTGGGCTTCTTTTGGGGTTTAGGGTTCGGCTGACAACATTTTCGGTCCGAAGTTTGCCACATCTTCTTTAAGGGTTTTCGGGTTTGGCTTTAACGCTTGCCACCCACCATCTTCTTTCGTAGGCCTCTGAGCTTCCATGACATGTCGTGTATGACTGTGTAATTCTTGGAGTTGCCACAACAATCTGAGGAGACCTGGGTTTGACCAACACCCTGGTCAGCGGCTCTCGCGTGACCCTTCCAACCCCGTGCTGTCTTCTTGTCAATGCTCCATGCTTGAGCCGACTTTGGACAAGGCGTTGGAGCTTCCGTTGGGGCTTTCCTTTATTAGTTCAGTGCTAAATCCAACTAAGGATCAGCGCTCTTAAAGTCCTAAAAGCAGACTTCAATGGTCCAAAGACCGGATAGCGAACCAGAACATAAGAAGGCGCAGATTGCCCAGACATAAACGACACAAACAACCCCTCGACACAGGCCAACAAAGCAGTTTCACACGCCCGCTTCAAGGCTAGACACGAATGGAAAAAGACGCAAGTCAGCGTAGAAATAAAGTCACAGGCAACCGCAAAAAGAGCAAACTACCTACCTTCCAAACCAAAACCAAATCTTCTGCACTCTTGCCGGGTATCATGTCCTCCGTGCATATTCCTTTTGTGGCTCGGAAGTGCCTTTCAGCTGTTGCTGTCCAGTTTCCTTTCGTTCGACTGCCTTGAACCCTTGCTCTATTTCTTTGTCTGATCATGCCCTCAAGGTGCGAGCGATCTGCTGCCGCTTGTCTTGAAACCGTCTGGGATTGAATTTTTTGAGCAACACAACTTGATCCGCAGCTCCCCTCGCCTGCCATGGCTCGGATGGACAGGTCCATGGCCGCACGCTGTTGCTGAGCCCGACTGGCCTGGTTTCTTCGAACAGCCCCGTTCGTCCCGCAACAACGTGCAGACACGACGGGCCTGCTTCTGCAAGTAATCCTTCGGAACAACACAACATCGAGACTTAAACAAAAAGCGCTCGGAAGAAACCTAAAAGCTTTCCTGCCGACGGCGCTCTTGTTCGCTGGCTTCATCACGAACAAGCTCTTCCACAGCGTTCCATAAATCATCGAGTCCATCCTCCCACGTCGAGCTAACATGCCATCCACACCTAAGTTCGACGACAGCCGGTGCTTTTTGCCAGGCCTCCAGCTCGCTGTCTGGCTGCTGATTATTCATGGTACATGCTGATGCGCTCGTATCTGCTCCTGTTGCTGCTCCTGAGTGGTTCGTGCGTGATTGCTATCAGCAGGCAATCCAACTTCCTTCTCGGTGCAATTTGACTCGCAGCTTGTGCTGGTCTAGAACCGGCAATTGTAAGGCCCGTCATGTAGTCAAGCCCTGCTTCAATTTTCTTCTGGTGTCCGAACCCTGCTGCCACAGACCAAAGTCCTAGTCATTGTTTCGCATTGTCAAGGTTACGCAGCATTGAGTTTTTCATCACGGCGACAGGAAATCAACCAGGAGCCACATTTTGCATTGAACGCATCTGCGCCCTGGAAGAAATAAGCCACACCGTGCGAACAATCCGAACACGAATTTTGGCTTCCAAAAATTCATTTGGCAACTTTACACTCTGAACTATGGGTTCTTGAAACTCACTCTGCGATTGCGGTGACAGTATTCTTAATTTGTTTGGCGTCTTGCACAAAGACGGTTGCTTTCATACGCACAATCGTCATCATCCTCGGAGGCTGAGACGCGGGACAATCTTGCAACGGTCTCAGACGTATTTTCGCCAATGCTCATGTCAATGTGTCGTTTCCTGAGGCTGAGATCTGTCTAAGCAGGAACTAAATGAAGAGCGAGCACTGCCCAACAGGGATTCACATACACAGTGGCTTTATCACCTGTCTGGATGGCACGTTTCGGGAAATATTGCCGACTTCGTGGTGGTTTCAGCAACCAAATATGAACATGCTAGCTATCTTGTCTTCCGACGCCAAGCCTATTGAACATGAAACCGAACTGCCTAATGTGAGACATAATTTGATGCTTACGGAATTCGTCAACGACAGACAAGATGTAAGGAAGCAAATCAACATCGTCCTACACGAAAACTGACAAACCCATTTCGTTTCCCTTCAACTTGACAACAAAAGGCGGCGGTCAGCATGCTACGTGTGATCACTTGAACCGAATGTGACAAGACAGCCCTGTTGCAACCTTATTGGCTTTTGTATCTCGGAAGAACAACACAGTTTCAGCTTCCAAGTTCCAACCACCACTGAAGGTGAAAAAACCGCAAATGAAGGTACCATTTGGCCATGGCTTGGCTTGGCTGCAAACGATCGAAAATGCTTGCTTCTGCAATGAAACACAAGATCAAATCGACCAAGGTTCAAAACGGTTCCATTGCAGCAAACTGCCAAAAGCTGCGCAAGATCCGAGGCATGCAGAACGCAAAACTGAAAAAATGAACAGCTTGCAAGAAGTCTGGCCCAGTAATTCCAAACATGCAGTTCAACTCTGGTGAACTGGAAGCGAAGCCTCCATAATCGTCTGCTCTTTTTTTATTGTCGAAGAAAACGTGTGTAAGTGCATAGGAAGCAGCGCAGGCGGGAATCAACGCCCGACCTGGAACGCGCAGTGAAATCTGCCTCCACAACCGTGAGTGCAGCCTCCAAGCACCCACATGAAATCGTTTTCGTGTGTTGTCTGGTCGGCTTCGCTCCCACCACATACAAACATACATGCGTTGATTCAGAACTTGATGTCAAATTGCGTTCATCGCACAAGTTTACAATCCTCACAAGTTGCATCTCAAGTGGACTGACATGTGCACCACCCTACGAACTTATCGCAACAAAAGCTCGATACCACAACGGACCCTGGCGAGGAAAGCGGCAGATGAAAAAAAAAACTTTGTACGGCTTTACGGTTCTGAAGCCAACACCCAACACTTGGAAAAAGAAGCCAAAGCCTAAAATGAATTCGAGACGCCTTCAAAAATGGTCGCTTCCAAAGTTCGTAAGTCCCTGATTCAGTGTGCATCACATACACACACAAAGATGCTTTGACAAGTTGAAGTTCTTGCACTTGCTTTTGAAGCTCACCACCAGGTCTGCTTCGCCGCCACAGTCTGGCCCAAACTAGTCTCCTCTGCGTTCAAAGCGATTGAACGGATTGTGTTGCTGATAAACAACTTGTGTGGCAGGCTGATGGTGTAGGCAGTGCAGGCATGCTCGTCGCTGGGCAGTCCAGCGATGGGGACGGGCACTTCAGCAGCAGTCTTCCGCAAAGTGATGCGACGTGGCTCGCACATTCCCGCCTTCTCTTGATGTAGATTTGCACTCCACTGGTATAGTGTGCAAAGAAAGGCGGCGGTGGGAAGGAAGACCAATTCCCCAGCACCAGGTAAGCCGAGGAACGATGTGGGCAGCGCACTTCCGAAACCTGAAGTGGCAATGCCGGCGGTGGCGGACCCGAAGCAGTGGTACTCGGAGCTGAGGCTGGTGGGCGAAGAGGCCGAGGTCCATGTGTGCCCCCTGCTTGGCACGGGCTGTGTGTCCATCAATGTGCCGGCTGGCTTCCCAAGATCTCCGGAAAGTGGTGGTGGAGGTAAGGCAAAAGACACCGGGGTCGCCGTTCGGCGCAGGCACCAAGGGTCCAGGGAGGTCCTCGTCACTCTGCCCCGAGGAGGCTTCCTCGTAGGCCATGATCCTCTTTGAGGCCACCTAAGGTCGAACTGGGACGGCCTCCTCCTCCTCCTCCTTCTCCTCCGTGGCTCGACGCTTGGACATGACAGTGCAAAACAGAAGTGATGCAATGGGGACCTACACGCTAGCCTGAGAGCCACAGTACGACAGTAGGTTTGGTCATCACTGGCACTAATCATGCCGGGTGGGTGAGAACAATCCAGCCCAGAGGCAACTGCAACATGCAAAAGCCATGTGAACGGAGAACGCTGCAGTGGAGGATGAAGATGTGCAGTCAAGAACTGCAAGCAAAACGGTTCCACCTGAGTGAGATTGAGACCAGAATGAAGCCTTGCTGAGGCCAGCAGTAACTGCCAGGAGTGGAGGATCAAGGACCAAGGGCCAGGCGAGGACTCCTCAAGCCTGAGAGAAGAGGTGAAATCCATAGGCCACAAAGAGTAACGCCGAATAATCTGAGCATCAGGCGAGGACACCTCAAACCTGAGCAGACGAGACCACGGGCACTTCTCCAATCCTCATTCTCTAAGTTCCTAACGACGTCAAGCTCCGCTTCCTAACATCCCTACGCATAGGCCTCTCGCTGCTGAACTCGCATCCCCTAGCCCTTAAAAAAACTCTGCTCAAGCCCTGAAACTTTAAACTCGCACAGGTCCAGAGCAGTCTGTGATTTAGACAGAACCGCAAGTACTTGGCTGCGATTCCTTGCCAAAACACCGGATGCCCTGTCGCACCATCTTCCCTGCCAAACCTCAACTCCTACACCTACTCCAGTCCTCCAGCTTTGACGCTTTTGAATATATTTAACCTCGAGCCTTTCTGGCTTTTCCAAACAGTACTTTTGAAAAGTCGCGGTGCTGAATTGAAGTCACAACAAGATGTCTTCCGATATTAAAGGGTTCCAAGACACATTTGCATGTCTCTGTTCCGTGCTCCCTGGCTTTCCCTACTTGGCGGCCAACCAGGCAACAAAAATGTTGCTCGCTCACTGCGTGTGCTCACATGTACGGATGTTGCTACGATTGGCGAACCACGGCACATGTAGGTTGGGCTGCACATGAAAGGCACGCTGCCGATAGACAATTCTAAAGCCAAGTGCGCCTAGTTTGTGGCGACTGCAGACATCTAGGTCAATCCTAAACCCGTCTAATTCTCCGGCCCACAAGCCGCTAAATACTTGCAATCTCGCATTTCTACTCTTCAACATATGCTTGCAAAACTTCTTCACCAGCCGGACCGATAAACCGACGTTCCAGGCATATGCGTGAATGTCTGTGACGATGGTGGCCACATGCCAAAATGATTTTGACTAGCTGCACACCCGCTAAGCTTCGTGCTAGTATGCTGTTGTTCTCTTCATGAACAAACATCGTGTGTTGTTGAGAAATGTTTGCATGTGTACCCTGAAAACTAAAAAACAAAAACCCGATTGGACTGAAACCGGGCGGTCTGGGGTCACCCAAAACCCTGACCCTAAACCCTAAACCCTAACTTTGAACCTGAGAGGAAGAACTGCTTTTCTAGCGTAGCTGATTCTCTCGTAGGGATTGGCACCACCTGCATCGTTTGCAGTTCTGGCAGGACCTTGCTGCCGGATTCTTTTGAGGGAACTCTTGACCCAAAAGCGGACTCTTCGAGCCAGAGAGACTTCGCGGCAACTACGTAATCACCACGCGGGCACTACGCAGTCACTACGGTCACTTTGCGGTCACTACGCGGTCACCACGCGGTCTACGGTCACTACGCGGGCTGCGTGGTCACCACGTAAACGCTCAACTTGACTGACCTAGAAGGCTCTGATTCATAAATGCTTCAAATTTGATTTAAAATACCGCAAATCAGTTTCAAGTTGATTCAACAAAAGCGCAAAATGATTGCAAAAATTTCATGTTTTGCCGCAACAATGATTAAAGCTCGGAGTCAACCGAATGCAACTGGAATGACTGCGCGGTTGTGTTCCTGATTTTGGTTTCACATGTGACAGCAAAATGAAGTCCATTTGCATCCAGGAATGAGCTTAAAGTGGCTGGGATGGAAGTTGCTCTCATTTCGATCTCTCACGAAACCAAGCAGCGACGAAGTCGAACGACATTCCAGATGGGCTCAGAGTTGGCTCGGAGAGCTCGGAGACGCTCGGGTTGACGTACTGTGGAGGCCTCTTGTCCGCGGCAACGTTTTCGAGCACTTTTCAACCCCCCACAACCGACCCTGCATTTGGGTGGTTGTCGCTACCTTGAGCTGATCCACATCTCAAACTTTTCGAAATTGGCAAGCTGTTCCTAAACTTCCAACCGTTACTCCAAAAAGTCACAAGATGCACGTAAAGACAGAATTCATTTTCGGATCGTAGGACATAGAAGACAAAACCAAAGCGCGGCAATTAGAGTCGGCAAAGACAGAAGCCAGAACACTCTGGATCTAGGCTGAGTAGAGCACTGGGTCCTGGCGACATGCGGGTTCTCCACGGCCCACCACCCGGGCCGGAGGTAGCCGATGCTCTCGATGGTCTTCAGGACCACGCGG